CTGCACCAACCACGGGAACAACCGCGGGATCAACCGCTGGACCAACTACGGGAACAACCGCGGGACCAACCGCTGCACCAACCACGGGAACAACCGCGGGATCAACCGCTGGACCAACTACGGGAACAACCGCGGGACCAACCGCTGCACCAACCACGGGAACAACCGCGGGATCAACCGCTGGACCAACTACGGGAACAACCGCGGGACCAACCGCTGCACCAACCACGGGAACAACCGCGGGATCAACCGCTGGACCAACTACGGGAACAACCGCGGGACCAACCGCTGCACCAACCACGGGAACAACCGCGGGATCAACCGCTGGACCAACTACGGGAACAACCGCGGGACCAACCGCTGCACCAACCACGGGAACAACCGCGGGATCAACCGCTGGACCAACTACGGGAACAACCGCGGGACCAACCGCTGCACCAACCACGGGAACAACCGCGGGATCAACCGCTGGACCAACTACGGGAACAACCGCGGGACCAACCGCTGCACCAACCACGGGAACAACCGCGGGATCAACCGCTGGACCAACTACGGGAACAACCGCGGGACCAACCGCTGCACCAACTACGGGAACAACCGCGGGAACAACCGCGGGAACAACCGCAGGACCAACTACCACGCCATTCTCCCCGTAACTAACAACGGGACCTCAAACCACGGTTCCACCAATTACCTTTCGATCAAACTGAATTCTAATGCATCAACGACCTACTGCACGGACCTACTAAGTTTTTCAATTTTTTTTTATTTTCCATGATGCATTTTAGATTAAATAACGTAAATATATCCTAGTTTCCAGGATTCCACGACCAGGAATAATATGTTTGCACGTAATATAATCTTAATTAACTAAATACAAACAATAGTAACCCCACATAGCAAACATTTTCAGAATTGTTGATTATGTCATGTAATCTTCCGTGTTTTAATTCATGAAAAAATATAAATAACGATATTGATTTATTCCAATTAACGCTTTGGACAACTCCTCCCTATGGTGAACTTTATCTCGTAGTAATCTGAATGCTTCTGTTCCGTTAGGAATCTCAAGCAAAACTTTCCACGTTTTCACTTTTACTTTTCCATAAAAGTTTAACAAGAATTTCCAAGATATTTGCCGAACTATCTCCAAACTATTGAAGTTTGACTTGAATTCGATCCCATAAGAATAGTAACCATTCAAAACAGACATGAAGAACGATATCACAACATTATTTGAAAGCGACGCACAGTGACAAAGCATAGACATAACCAGCAAGCAGTATCACCAGACTGACAACCCATCAGGAGTGGGAAGGTGGGTTTGTCTGTCCTTCGTTACTATTCTTATGGGATAGAATTCCAGTCAAACTTCAACTTCCAGGTAAGTTTCGTTTAACTTCTAAATTCCATCGCATAAATCGTAACTTACGGACTGACATGAAGTCTTTAAAGCATGCGAGGTCGCTGACATGTGAGTATAAAAATATCAACAATACAAACTTATTCAAATGAATAAATAATATAAATATATAAATAATATATATATAAAAAATATATAAGTAAATAAATAATAATTTTCCCTTATAAAAACTATGCAACAGCTTAAACACAACACGCGATAAATATTACGTACGATAAGTGTAATATCTACCCAATAACCCCTTCGTAATAGAACTGCCTAAATGTGGTATAGCATTAATCCAACCTGCTCTGTTCAGAATTTCATCACCTGGAATATCTTCTGCATAGCCTGCTGTTACATAGAATGTGTCAGTGTGGTTTGAATAAAGTACTTTCAATTCCGACGCCTTCTAAGGCAGTTTTAATCCATCTAGCTAAAGCTTGAGATACAATAGCACAGTGCGGTTGTATGGTTGCGAAAAAGTAAATTCTCATTTTGCCGTAATTTTTGTGTTCTCTCAAGATACTCTTCTACATATAAATATGGGCAAACATCAGGACCCATGGTGTATCTACAGTGGCGGAAATTCACCTTTTTGGGGGGGGGGGGGAAGCCTCCTAAATTTCCGACAAAACTTTCAAATTTCCGACATACCCCCCCC